ACCATCGATCTCATCATTATCTTCCAAGGTTTCATCATCTTCATCTTCTTTTTGCTCCTTTTTCTCCTTGATCTTATCCAGTCGAGCAACCAAGGCATGAAAGTTGGTGAATGGTGGTGACGATAACTCTCCTCTTTCATGGAATTGACTTAGACTGTCCTATGCATCTTTGGCCTCTATGCAGTGAGCAATCCATTGTTGTTCTTCTTTAGAAATTGCTTCACGGATGGCAGTCAGAACTCTTTGATTGATTGGATTGTCAGCACTTTTAACATCCTCTTCAATGACTTGCCAACCTTCAGGATCATGAGCTCTAAGAAATATCCTCATTCAGATCTTCCAAAATAAGTAGTTACTCCCATCAAAGGTAGGAGCATAGTGCAGATTCTGACCACAAGCAAACTTCACTGGCTTTGGAGGAGGTTGAGTGACGGTAGACCAGAATGCCATGTAAGTACTATCTTTGTCTTCACCGGACTCGGTTTCTTCGAGTTCTTGCTTTGACCCGCTTTCATCTTCCCAAGTCATTGTATAGACTTTCTTCTGGTTCTTTTTGGATGGACATTCAAGAGCAATATGTCCAAACCTTTGATATTCATAACACTTGACACCTTGCCCCTTCACAGTCTTCTTTTCAATTTTTGGATCAATTTTTGAGTTTTTCATTACTCTTATCTTTTGAAATAGGGTCCTTGAAATTAGGCTTCTTTTTCTTTAAATTTTTTTTTTGAACCATTTAGTAAACATAGCGATCATTTCGAACTCTAGATCAAACACAATCTACGGGGTCTTAGTAGTCTCATGAACACTAGTAAAAGCCAAATTGACCTAATTCATCATGTATAGCATTCACCCAACTATCATCTAGTAAGGCCTCTTTTACATTTTTAGGTTCAATTAACAAAACATAGCACATATGAGTTACCTCTTCCCGAACTTGCTTTCGGGTTTTCATTTGGTCTAAAACATTGCCAATCACCTGTTAAACCGGATGGTTCAGTTTTACCCTTGCTGAAGGTTTTAACTCGTGACTAGTTGTGACAGGAACATCAGAGGTGGTGCCTCTTTTTGCACTCTTTGGACTCGAACTTACCATTGAAGATGGTATTGGCTCTCTTTCTTGAGCATGACCCTCTGTTTCTCCTTCACTTTGTGGTTCAGTATCCAAGCTTGGAGACTCACCATTATCTTCCTCATGTATCACTGGAGTAGGAGAACCTGTGTCATCTATAACCACATTGATTTATTCCATTAAAGATAACGTACGCAGGTTATAGACACGAAAAGCTCTACTAGTGGTTGAATACCCTAGAAAAATACCTTCATCACTTCAGGAGTCAAATTTTCCAAGGGCTCTCTATCTTTGAAAATGTAACATTTACTCTCAAAAGTTTTGAAGTATTTTATATTAGTTTTCAATCCTTTCCACAATTCATATGGAGTTTGTCAAGTGTCGGGCCTTAAATACACACGATTTACAATATAAACAGCAGTATTTAAGGCTTTAGCCCAAAACTTAGGAGGAACTTTCTTACTAAGTAGTATGACCTTAGCCATCTCTTGAACAACCCTGTTCTTCCTCTCAACAATTCTATTTTGTTGTGAAGTAATCGGTGCAGAAAACTCATGCTTAATACCATGCATATCACAAAAATCCAAAAATGAAGTATTTTCAAACTCATGACCATGATCAGTTCAGATTCTTATGATACGCCCAATAGAAACACCCTGTTCATTTTGGATTTTAAGGACTAAGGCCTGGAAAGCATCAAACGTATTAGATTTTTCTCTTAAAAAGTTAACCCATGAAAAATGAGTATAATCATCAATAGTTTAAAAAATGTATCTTTTTACCTCCAATGTTTTTAGTGCGAGTGGGTCCCATAAGATCCATATGAACCAGTTGAAGAGGACGTTTGGTTGTAAAGTTGTTCACCTTTTTATGAGGGGCACGGGTTTGCTTCCCAAGTTAACATGGTCTATACACATGGTTCACATTCTTACCCATTTTGGGTACACCTCTCACAAGCTCTTTGTTGGCTATCTTGGTTAGGTCTTTGAAATTCATGTGACCTAATCTTTGATGCCACAAGTCAAGGTTACTTATGACGGCCAAATGGCAAGTGAGATCATTAGTGGTAACAATCCCATAGTAGTTATCAGATGTGCGAACCTCATGCATGACAGTATTTCTCTTTTTATCTAAAATTTCACATTTAGTTTTTGAAAATAATACTTTATGATTGGAATCATACATTTGACTAATGCTCAAAGATTAGCTTTAAGTCCATCCACAAGTAAGGCATTTTCGAGCTTGGGAAAACCGGCCACACTTATAGAGCCCTTACCAATGACACTAGAAGTGCCACCATCTCCAAAGGTAACAATTCCTCCTTCATATTTTTTAAGAGAAGTGAAGTAGGATTTGTCACCAGACATGTGACGAGAGCACCCACTATCGAGATACCACATGTGTGAGTCACGTGCTTTCAGTGCAGTGTGAACAACAAAGCAAGTTAAGTCGCTCTTTCTAACCCATATCTTTTTGGTCTTGATAGAAGCAGGACTGGCAGTCGTGGTAAACGTCTTAGCGTTGTGAGCACTCTCATGAATCTTGGTGTTCTGCTTAGACATGTAAGGTTGTCTTTTAACCCAAAATGTATTAGAATTTTTTGAGACAACTTATGTGACAACCCCGCTACATATAATATTTTATATTTGGTTAATTAAGGAGATTTGTGATTTTAATTAGTTGTTATCCTAATTTAATTTGGGATTTATGAGAATTGTGGAATCTGATTTACCCCATTTCAATGATTCAAACCATTCACATTTTAAGGTTCGTCGAGTACATCATTCCTACAAAAAATCAAGTCAATTGAATAACAAAAACCACGTGTTTGGCTCAATTTTGTACGAATCGTTTATTTTCTAACCGTCCATTTTTGATTGGTAAAAATTAAATATTATTAATTGGGTCTTAATTGAAGTCTATGAGACTAATTAAATTATGTGGGATTTGTCATTAGTTGCAATTAATTAATTTATGTGTTAATTAAGATTTATTAAGACTAATTATTAATTATAATTAGTTAAGACTAAGAGGTGTTTAGCTAACCTAATATGTAATTAATAGACTAATCTAATGTTACTCAACTTACTTACCACCTTGGTGTATAGTGAAGAGAAGATGATGGCAAATTATTTAAAACTCTCGGATCACTTGTGTTCATATTTCAATTCAATCACCAATTAGATAGTCTCATATTGTTCTTTTTTTTTTTAACATAAATCGTGAGCGCTTGCGTCTCCCTACCAATTAAAATATTATGAAACACTACATATCCATACTCCGAAAATATTGAATAATTCTCCGAAGATGAGATTGTTCTAGAATTAAGTAGAGCGACATAATATTGTGCTGGACTTCATAAATTGAAGGGAGAAGTGTATGCCTATTCATTGTGTTGCCTGAGACAAGTGTCCCACTATCTAATAATAAATAATAATAAAAGAAGTGATTGAAGTCAAGAAGGAAGAAGTGATATGTATTAGAGTCTTTGGTTCATCAATCTGTTTGGTTGGAGACAAATAGAGAGAGAGAGAGAGAGAGAGAGAGAGAGAGAGAGAGAACCCACTTGCTAGAAATTTTGGAAGGAAAAAGAACAAATCAAGTCTTGTGTTGAAATTGGAAGAAGTAAACTTAATAAATTCAACCATTGAAGACTTAAGGGTAAGAAATTAAAACTTAAATTTTATAGATAAATCACCTAAAAGTTGAAATTAGGAGATGATTGGGTTCAATCTCATGTGATTACAAAGAAATTAGCAAGAAGATGAAGAAATTAAGTTAGATTCATGGTTTTGGAAATTGATTTAGAAATAAATTATTTTTGGTTTGATTTTGTTATATCTTCTTATAATACTTGAGATTGAGAAGGATTTGAGATTATATTCATGGAATTAGAAAGAAATTGGGTTTTGAACATGAAATGGGTTAAATGCATGTTCATGGTTATGGAAATAAACTTAGAAATTAATTATGTTGAGTTTGATTTTTGTAATCTTGCATGAATTTGAGTTTTATTTCTACATGTATGAACAAATTTTATAAGTTTTAATACTCTAATTGTACATGCATCATTGGTTTCTTATAATTGATTTCACGTTTTGATGAAATAAGAACTAAGCCTTATAAAATTATGAGTCTATGAACAAATGAGTTCACTTTTTAAATTAAAGGCCGTTTGAATATTTTGATGGGCCAAAGGCCACTTGAATATTTGATGGGCCAAAGGCCATTTGAATATTTTAATGGGCCAAAGGCTATTTGAATATCACTACAAAAAAAAAGTCTATGGTGACAAAAACGCATGACGAAAAAAATATTTCGTCTCCAAATATACATGTTTTAGTGATGAAAATAAGATTTCGTCTCCAATTGTATTATTTTTTGAGACAAAAATCAAATTTCGTCACCAAATACTTAAAATCAAATAAAACAATAGGTGATAAAAATTCTATTCGTCTCTAAATTTTATTTTTCGTCACAAAACAATTTCCCGCCCTTGAAAAATTTGGCGGAAGATTAGGCGCCATTACGGAAACAAAATTTTTTGTCACTATTGTAAAAAAATTTAGAGAGGAAGTAATTTTGTCTCCAAATATAATTTTTAGAGAGAAAAATCAAATTTCATCGCCCAATATTTAAAATCAATAAAAAATAAAAGGGCAAATTACATATACACCCCTCCAGGTTTGACAAAATTACAGATACCCCCCTGAGGTTTGAGAAATTACGAATTCCCCCCTGAATGCTATATTTGCATAAGAAATTAGGGGGTAATTTGTTATGAAATATAAACCTCAGGGGGTAAATTGTTATGAAAATACAAACCTCAGGGGGCGGGATGTAATTTCCGAAACCTCAGGGAGATATCTGTAATTTAACCAAACCTGGAGGGGTGTATATGTAATTTGCCCAAAATAAAATTGAACAAGAGATAGATATATCTCTGTTAGGATGCATCTCTTTTACTTTCTTTGTTACTCCCTCACCCATCCATCTGCTTCACACTGTCCATCCATCTTGGTCGCACCGGCTAACCCACGCGTCGCCGGCCGGCACTCGCTACAACAGGTATCTCTCTCTCTCTCTCCCTGTTTTCGCCTCACTCTCTCTCCCTCTGCTCTCTTCTCATTTTTCCGAGCTCCCTCTCCCATCTTCTCGCTTTTCTGACCTCCATCTCCCATCTTCTCTATCTCGCTATCCCCTTTCTCGTCTCTCACTTTCATAATTCATTTTTCCCCAATTTGAACCCTAATTTGTTGGATGCTTCGCTGCCTGTGACCTCCCAACTTGGTTTTTCTCTAACCCTAATAAGTATCCTTCAAATAAAGATTTTTTTTGGTGTTTATTTTCCTGAATTTTTGAAGATCACAGCTTCAATTTTCGTATTGTAGCTCAATCTTCAAATCTCCATATTGATATTTTTTTTTTAATTACAAGTCAATTGTTTTGCTATTGGGTCTGAAAATTGCTTTGATTTTTCTTTGAATTTTTGGCCTTGGAATCCAATGAAGCAGTTCTAAAATCCCAACTGAGAGAGCTACTTAAGCTCGTTGTGAATTATTTTTGATGTTATTTGAATTAGTGTTTGTGGGTATTTGACTGCTTACTGGATATGTTCATAAAAAGTTCAATCAGCAATATAAAGCTACAATTGGGGCTGATTTTGTCACCAAAGAACTACAATTTGATGACAGGCTTGTCACTCTACAAGTGGGTTCTCAGTTCCATTTCAATTTTATTGTTCTGTGCCTGCTTTTATTTAGAGCATGTTTGATCAATATCTCTCTATTTGCTGTGTGATTGTGTGCTTTGCTTTGGTAGATATAGGACACAGCTGGGCAGGAGAGGCTTCAAAGTCTCGGCGTTGCCTTTTATAGAGTGACAGATTGTTGTATTCTTGTATACGATGTTAATGTCATGAAATCATTTGATACTCTTAACAATTGGCATGAAGAATTTCTCAAACAGGTTAGTTATTCATCTTTATCTCATTGCTGCCAATGTTGAACAATTTGTCATGTATCTTTTATTTTTTGGTCTATTTGTCTTAGTGAGTGTGTGTAAGTGTAAACGCATCAATAAACAACCTCTGAGGCCCATTGTTTAAATTGCACATTATGCATAACTTACAAGATAGTTAATCAATCATTTCAGAATCTTGAAATATATGGACCTGTTTTAGGCTGTCATTTTCTTTTTGTATCGAAGGATTCAATTAGAGGTACTTTGCTCTCAAATACTTGGTTCATTGATTCTTTTTGTCTATAGAATTTTTCACAACTACTAATTTTGAACAAATACGAGGTAGTGTAGTTGTTTCAAGTTTTATGAGGATCACATAACCATAAAATTGTCGATAATATTTTGGTCGTTTTGCTGTAGTGGCTATTTTCTGTATATAGGTTGATTCTTCCTACGTCATATATATTTTACAATGTTGTGGCTGTGGTTGTTATACATGTTCATTTTTTGCTTCATCAAGACTTTTGGGTCCATAGATAACTTGACTTCTTATCAACTCTTTTTATAGTAAGGGCTAATTGAGCTGTCATTGTTGTGCACCCCCTAAAGGAGACCTTTTCCAAGCCCCCCAATGCCTAGCAGTTAAGCAATATGTGTCATCCTATCAAGCAATCCCATTCAAAGGGACCATTTAAGATTGAAAACTAAAAGAAGAAACAAATTCAATCACCAAAAGAAAAAACCTTAGACCGTGTTTGGACTTGCAAGGCAATGGCAGTACCTTTTAAGGCCTTAAATTCCAAAATGTTCCTTTTGATTGCGAAGCGAAACCGGACAAGATTTTAGGATCGTCAAACCTCACCTCAAACAATGTGTGAACTCCATTCTATATATGAATCTTCCTCCAATAAACTCTAGAAATTGAATTACTATCATCAAAATGGTTAATCACAATACAGTAACACACCTACATTTTGTTATAGTTCTTTGAAGAGAAGATTTGTTACCTGCAATGGTAAGGGATAAAAATAGAATTTGACAAGAACAATGAAATAATTAATGGAAAAGAAATACAAAAGCATAAATAAATAGTAGTTGCAGGGCATTACCAAGAACACCACCACCACACTTGAAATCAATAGTGACGTAAGTTAGATTCAGAATTTGAAGATTTTAGACATTGCCTAGGAACATGTCATAACTTTTTCCATTATAAATGAAGCAAAAATGCTAGAGACTAAGAAACCAACTTTGGAAAAATACAAAGAAAAAATTGTGTGGCTTAGCTTTGACACTTGTATTGTAAGTCCACACTTGAAATAAATTTTTCCTCGTATTTTTTTTTTTGTTGGTAATTAGTTTCTTGATTTCTAACATTGTTATGAATGGAGTGGATCCAACTATAAAGAATGTGTTGGTGGGAGTTGAACATCCGACAAATAATTTTTTTTTTTTTTTTTTTTGATGAGTTCTTAGCTTGGTCACTTCAAATGTTTCAAAGGATTCTGCATGTAAGGCAAAAGAAGCTAGTTTACATCATCATTGATTGAACCACCAATGAATTTTCATATGACCTTACTCTGATGTTGATTTGTAAGAGCAATCCTTCACAACTTTTTTCTTTGAATTCAAATTTGTAGTTAAAAAAATAAATTAAAAAAATATATCTTTTCTTGAAACTTATAGTAAATTAAAAAATAATTTTTTTATGAAATTAAGAATGAATCAAATCATTAAATTTTAAGAATTATATTTGTTCAAATTTAGTAAAATTTTAAAAACCATAAAGATTGTATGTGATTGAGACTTGTATAAGTATTTTATAAATTGGTGTTTCCCATTTTGTTGTTATGGATTTTCCATTCAAACTTGGAAGAAATAGAAAATTTCAAGTTGGTGGTATAGTGATGCAGGGCATTTTCATATAATTGGATCAATTGTCATAATCATCAAACCCACAAAAAAAGTCTTACTTCTCAGGTGATATTGATCTAAGAGATACTTCTCAAGTGATATTGAAGCCAGTGAGTGTTTATTCAAAAATTCAAACTTCCAAATCATTGTTTTCTTATAAAGATTATTTGCTTGTCTTTCACTGTAAGGCTGAAGATGGGTCACACATGTGAACTTCCAAATCACTGTTTGCATTCTTGCAGAAATAGGGTCAGCTATGGCCTAGAAACATCTTAATAGTTTTCTAACGTGGATGCTTACACATATACCTTCCTACATAAGTATGATGTCTTTGACATTAACAGTTTTTTAATGATTACTGTGGAATAATATATTCCCAAAAATTCTATTGGTTTTTGTAAAAAAGAAAAAAGTAAAGTTGCTTATGATCTTTATCATGTTGGATAGGATCAGTTTTGAAAGGTTCCATAATTGTGGGGTTGTCCATTGTCTAGGGCTTAGAATTAGGAAAATGTTGCAGAGATTATTTAGATGTAATCATTTTTTCTTTCATAATTGCTCTTATGTTTTTACATTTCTGTCCTGTCTGCTTTCTTTTAGTAGACACCGTCTTCGGTCAAATAATTTGTGCTCTTTGCTTAAATCATAAGTTCTTTAACGGATGCTCCCATTCCTCTTCCTTCTCCTTTACCTATTCTAATTTTAAAGAAATTTTGTATAGAGTGGATTTGCCGAGTATAATGTTCCTCTCTAATGGAAAATGAAGATCAAATATGTCCCATGTAGCTCAGATCAGAGTTGGCCTTTGTGCTTTGCTATTCCAAATCTAATTCTTGTACCAATATCAAATTTTAACACTGCTAATTGCTCCATTGTGCTGCAGAATATTAGTAACTTTAGCATGGGGTACTCAGAATTTTTTCTTATAATTTGTTTCCTATTAATATAAAATAACTCCTATGGCTGGTCATATAGCTTTCCAAATACCATGAATTAGTTACCATTGACCAGAAAGTGAGCTTTTAACTAATTGAACATCCATGTGGATCTACTCTAAGAAGGCCCGGTTTGAAAACCAAGTCGAAAAATACACTTTTCTCACACTTAAGCTTGAAAATAGGCCATCAGGGGTCAAAATCGTTCAACATCCACGAGACGGCTTGGGTAACACCTCAAACACCTCAGGAGGGACCAATGTAAGTTGTGGAAATTTACGGAACTAGCACGGGACTCCCGGTTTGAAAACTAAGTCGAAAAATGCACTTTTCTCACACTTAAGCTTGAAAATAGGTTATCAGGGGCCAAAATCGTGTAACAGCCACAAGACGGTCTAGGAAAAACCTCAAAAACCTCATGAGGGACCAATGTAAGTTGTGGAAACTTACAGAACTAGAACGGGATTCCCGGTTTTAAAACTAAGTCGAAAAATGCACTTTTCTCACACTTAAGCTTGAAAAGAGGCTATCGGGGGCCAAAATTGTGCAACAGCCACGAGACGGCCCAGGAAACATCTCGAGCACTTCAGGAGGGACCAATGTAAGATGTGGAAACTTACAGAACTAGCACGGGACTCCCGGTTTGAAAACTAAGTCAAAAAATGCACTTTTTCACACTTAAGCTTGAAAATAGGCTATCGGAGGCCAAAATCGTGCAACAGCCACGAGACGGCCCGAGAAACACCTCAAACACCTCGGGAGGGACCAATGTAAGTTGTGGAAACTTACAGAACTAGCATGGGACTCCCGGCTTGAAAACTAAGCCAAAAATGTAATTTTTCACACGTAAGCCTGAAAATAGGCCATCGGAGGCCAAAATCATGTAACAGCCACGAGACGAGCTGGGAAACACCTCAAACACCTCGGGAGGGACCAATGTAAGTTGTGAAAACTTATGGAACTAGCACGGAACTCCCGGTTTGAAAACAAAGTCTAAAAATGTACTTTTTCACACGTAAGCTTGAAAATAGGCCATCGGAGGCCAAAATCGTGTAACAGCCACGAGACGGCCTGGGGAACACCTCAAACGCCTCAGGAGGGACCAGTGTAAGTTGTGAAAACTTATGGAACTAGCACGGGACTCCCGGTTTGCAAACTATGTCCAAAAATGCACTTTTTCACACTTAAGCTTGAAAATAGGCCATCGGAGACCAAAATCGTGTAATAGCCACGAGACGGCCCGGGGAACACCTCAAACACCTTGGGAGGGGGACCAATGTAAGTTGTGGAAACTTACAGAACTAGCATGGAATTCCCAGTTTGAAAACAAAGTCTAAAAATGTATTTTTTTTCACACTTAACCTTGAAAATAGGCTATCGGAGACCAAAATCATGCAACAGCCACGAGACGGCTTGGGAAACACCTCTAACACCTCGGGAGGGACCAATGTGAGTTGTGGAAACTTACGGAACTAGCACGGGACTCCCGGTTTGAAAATTAAGTCCAAAAATGCACTTTTTCACACTTAAGCTTGAAAATAAGCCACCGGGGATCAAAATCGTGCAACAGCCACGAGATGGCCCGGGGACCACCTCAAACACGTCGGGAGGGACCAATGTGAGTTGTGGAAACTTACGGAACTAGTACGAGACTCCCGGTTTGAAAACTAAGTCCAAAAATGCACTTTTTCACACATAAAGCTTGAAAATAGACTTTCGGGGGCCAAAATCGTGCAACAGCCATAGGACAGCTCGGGGAACACCTCAAACACCTCGGGAGGGACCAATGTGAGTTGTGGAAACTTACGGAACTAGCACGGGACTCCCGATTTGAAAACTAAGTCCAAATATGCACTTTTTTACACTTAAGCTTGAAAATAAGCCACCGGAGGCCAAAATCGTGCAACAGCCACGGGGCGGCTCGGGGACCACCTCAAACACGTTGAGAGGGACCAATGTGAGTTGTGGAAACTTACGGAACTAGCACGGGATTGCCGGTTTGAAAACTAAATCCAAAAATGCACTTTTCCACACTTAAGCATGAAAATAGGCCACCAGGGGCCAAAATCGTGCAACAGCCATGGGACGGCCCGGGAAACACCTCAAACACATCGGGAGGGACCAATGTGAGTTGTGGAAACTTACAAAACTAGCACGGGACTCTCGGTTTGAAAACTAAGTCCAAAACTGCACTTTTTCACACATAAGCTTGAAAATTGACTTTCGGGGGGCCAAAATCGTGCAACAGCCACGAGACGGCCCGGGGAACACCTCAAACACATCAGGAGGGACCAATGTGAGTTTTGAAAACTTACGGAACTAGCACGGGACTGCTGATTTGAAAACTAATTCAAAAAATGCATGTTAAATTGTATATTTTATGAATAAGATAATAATTGTCTAACTTGCATTTTTTTTTTTTTTGTGTTTCATTTTTTTGCAGATTCGAGATTTGATATGGACATGTTTGGTAATTTGGAGGGCAGATGGTAGCTCATTTTGTGTTTTTGTTCATATTACCTTACATGTATTTTGGTTGGTTGTAAATTTTTTATTTTTGTTGGTATTACAGGGCATGTTGGGTAATTCGCCATTGATATTTTATTTTTGTTGATATTAGTAGACATGTTTTTTGTTAGATATTAGATGTGTTTGGTAATCCGCATGCGGTTAATATTATATTTTTGTGGATATTAGTAGATGTTTTTTGTGGATATTAGGAGACATGTTTATAATCTGCATGCAGTTCATGTTGTATTTTTGTGGACAGTGCTGAAATTCGATTGTGATGTTATGAAAATGAACAGATTTCTGTATTGATTTGTAATAGATATTTTATTGAACATGTTATTGAAATGCGCAGGGAATTGTTACTGAAAACAAAAAATTTCGGAAGAAAATAGTACTCTTATTTTCAAAAATTTTAATTTTTATTAGTGACGAAATAAAAAATGTCGCTATTAGTTTGCAAAAAACATGACGAATAATTTTGTCACTAATGATACAATACCAAACAAATAATTTCGTCACATTTGCTTAATATTTCGTCACTAAATTGAAATATTTAGTGACAAAATATTTTGTCATTGAAGAATTTTCTTTTCTGCTCATTTTAGTGACGAATTTTTTTGTCACTTTAATCCATATCGTTGGTGAGAGAAACTTTCGTCACTAAAATCTATTTGGTGACGAAATATTTCGTCGCGAAAAACAATTAAAATAAAATATTATTTAGTTTTGGCGACGAAATTGATGTTATAGAGGACGAAAAATTCAACATTTGGAGACGAAACATTTCGTCGCCAAAAATAAAAAATAGGCGACGAATCTATTTTTCGTCGCCAGGTACTTTCAACGACGATGTATAAGCCACGAACGTGGTGACAAATTTTTTTTGTCGCAGATTACTTTAGTGACGAAAATTTGATGTTTGGAGACAAAATCAATCTATCATCAAAGGCCTTTTTTGTTGTAGTGATTTTGATGAGCCAAAGGCCGCTTGAATATTGTGATGGGCCAAAGGCTGTTTGAATATCGTGATGGGCCAAAGGCCGTTTGAATATCATGATGGGTCAAAGGCCGTTTGAATATGAATGTAATGGGTCAAAGGCCATTTGAATGAAAAGTGATTATGATCATGAATATGAAATGCACATAGATACGAATATGGAAATAATGAGCCCGAGGCCGTTTGATACGCTAAAGTGTTTGAATTGGGACTGAGGTCGTTTGATGAGTCTGACAAAGTTATGCAGTGGGCCTGAGACCGTCTGATATGTTTGATGCAATAGGCCCATGGCCATTTGATGTGTTTGATTAGAATCTAAATGGGCCCGAGGTCGTTTGACAGGTATAAAAAAAACAGAGAATGGGCCTAAGGCTGTTTGTGTATGAAATTTACGGGTTTGATGTACTTAATATGAATCTCATTCGTATAACTTCTTTACTATGGTATTATTCATTGAGCTTTCACTCACTCTTCGTATATATGTATGTAGGTGAGTAGCAGGATACCTAACCCCAACCGTAACGAACCCAAGAAAGAATGTCAAGCTTGTGGAGTCAACCATGGCGCGCCTCACGAACGAGGCCTTAGTTTTAAAACTTTAATTTTGACCTTTTTTGTCTTCTTTTGATGGTTATGTTTGATCTTATCTGTATATAAGCTATGGTTTTGTATAAATATGGTGTTGTATGGACCTAGACATAGAATGTCTTTGATGTGGGTATGTTTGGTGTGAGTTATTAATATAAGAAATGTTTTTGTTCATTCCATTTATGCACAAGCTCATTGAACAAATATTATCTTTTTGCTTCTGCTTTTGGCCCCATATGATTATTTAAAACTTGTTTTCTGTCTGAGGCCGTAGGTAATCTAATGATTACCGGCCAGTTATGATCCTAACCTTTAGGGGCGGGTTTAGGTCATGACACCTTACCAAACAACTCATAACAGTAAGGACGAATGTGGCCATAACTACCACAATGATGACAAACAAAATTAGGTTTTACCTCCCTTTGGTTGCTCTTACCTCCTTTAAGTTGATGAAGAGATGGATCATCTTGTTGAACCTTCAGCTTTCCCTTTGTTTGAGTCTTGATGTTATGTGATGTAGATGTCTGTCCCTTGTGAACTGTTGCATTACCATAGCCTAGCCCACTTTTGTCATAACTCATTTGTTGAGACCCGAGGATGTCTTCCAATGTCTTTGATCTTTTGTTCCACATGGCAATCGTGGTTCTAACATCTCTGAGTTCTTCATCTTTCTGACAAACCATCTATTCTAGTGCAGCTTGTGACATCTCAAGCATTTCAATCTTTTCTTCATATGTGGCATATATTTTCAGAAGTTCATTCCTTTCGGTCTCATAAGCTAGAAGTTTTCCACATAGGTCTTGTCTGTCATTAGAGATCTTGATAACATCCTACTTTGCTGTGACAATCTCTCTTTTTAGCTTGACATTCTTGCTTTCCCATGCTTTGAGCTTGAAAATCAATTTGTCATTGATCTTGGACAAGTTCAGAGATTCAATGTAATGCTTTTCATAAGCTTGTTATAGATCATCACCATCGATCTCATCATTATCTTCCAAGGTTTCATCATCTTCATCTTCTTTTTGCTCCTTTTTCTCCTTGATCTTATCCAGTCGAGCAACCAAGGCATGAAAGTTGGTGAATGGTGGTGACGATAACTCTCCTCTTTCATGGAATTGACTCGGAATGTCCCATGCATCTTTAGCCTTTGTGCAGTGAGCAACCCGTTGCTGTTCTCCATCAGTAATTGTTTTACGAATAGTAATTAGAACTCTCTAATTGCTTGGATTGTCAGTACTTTCAGCATCCTCTTCAATGGCTTGCCACCCTTTAAGGTCGAAAGCTCTCAAAAACGCCCTCATTCTGATCTTCCAATACAAGTAATTACTCCCATCAAACGTAGGAACACGGTGCGAATTCTGACCACGAGAAAATTCTACTGGCTCGGGAGGAGGTTAAGTGAAAGTGGACCAGAATGCCATGAAAGCATTATCCTTATCTTCAGTGGATTCAGTTTCTTCGGGTTCTTGCTCTGACCCGCTTTCATCATCCCTCTGAAATTAGGCTTCTTTTTCTTCAAATTTTTTTTAAACTGTTTAGTAAACATAGCCGTCATCTCAGACTCTAAATCAAACTCAGTCTCCGGAGTTTTTGCAGTCTCATGAGCATTAGTGAAAGCCACACTATCTTTTTGTTTTTTCTTAGAAATCTGGTGGGCTTCACAAGTCTGCAAGTTTCTAACCAACTAATCAAGCTTGAGGGTATCAATATTCTGAGCCTCCTCAATAGCTGTAACTTTTGATTGGAACCTCTTGGGTAAAGACCTCAAAATTTTTCCAACAACCTTAGCTTCAGAGATTTTTTTACTAAGTGTGAAATAGGAATTCATGATGTCACTAAGTTTAGCATAAAAATCATCAAACGTCTCATCATCAAGCATAAAAAGAGTTTTAAAAGAAGATGTGAGATGTTGAAGTTTTGACCTTTTAACAGAAGTAGTACTCTCATGAATAGTTTCAAGAATGTCCCAAGCCTCTTTTGCTACCTCATATGTGCAAATACGACGAAACTCTTGAGGTGTGACGGAGCAAAAGAGGGAATTGAGAGCCTAACGGTTCCAACTCGAGTTTTGATAGTCGAATGCATCCCATTTATCAAGAGGTTTGGGGATATCAACACCATCAATGGTGACAACAGATTCACTCCACCCATAGATCACAAAGTGCCAAACTTCCTCATCAATAGATTTTAAAAATGCTCTGAAGCGAACTTTCCAATAAGAATAGTTTGTACCATTAAGTAACAGAGGTTTATGGGTTGAGTTAACTTCGCGAATTGAATCGATATCACCAATCACACAAAATCACACACTTATAGTTTTGATAAAAACAAAAATTACATCAAGATTAATTGTACCAATTTCCAAACGATTTAAAACTAAAAATCTAAATCATCTAGCACATACAAAAGTGATTGTGATTAAAAAAACCACGGGCGAAACGCCAGTAATCAACCCACTATGAAAGGATGAAAGAATACAAATTTTATCAAAACAAATTACCCAAACTTAATCAATTTGTCTTCAACAATCTGTATTTCTTTCGCAGCACCCTTCATCTCAACATTGATCACTTTGATGTTGAATCTGCAACATCCATGTCGAATCAACGATTGCGTACAGCATCAAACTCTTTCGAATACTCCATGCTTGAATATCTGGATTCCATTGAAGAAGAACACTCTTGTTGAATAACCAAACAATCCTTTGATGTGTGCTTGTCAAATCATGAGTTTAATACTCAATCATCACCAAAGAAAACTAGCAAAATAGCCCCAAAAGAAAACCCTAGAACCCTCAAAGAAACTCTGGAAGTTGTGCCCTAGATTTGGAACAACCTGCAGTTTTATAGCTGCTGAAACTACGATGTCCGCTCAAGTGCAGGAATGGACGCTCGAGCAGGGACGCAAAGACGCGTGTTCCAAGCCAGGATTCACGCTCGAGTGTAAAATCATACCACTCAGTATTTTTGATGTCAAGCCAAAGTACTGCGAAAGTGGAAACTCCACTCGAGCAGGAACTTTCCTCGCTCGAGCGGGAAGACCAAAAACAGAAGGAAAATTACAACATGATTAACTTAAGTTTGTTCGCGGAATTAGCAATCATATCTAACATAAAGGAAAGGTCATTTGCATTTTTTGTGCCTTTTCAATTCAAACTGAACAGGTACCAACAAGTCTATATAAAGGTAGCCCTCATTCCAATTTTATTTTTTTATCTTTTATTTTTCCAAATTCCTTAAGTTCAAGCATTCTTCTTGTATTCTTCATCTGTGTGTGTCTGAATTTTGTAAGTACAAAACATAATTTTGGTTCACTATACAATCAAAGAGTGTGCTCTCTTTGTTTGTGGTGATTGTTGTATCCTGGAGACAGGACGTCCATTGTTCTCAAGCACCATTAGAGAGAACGAAATTCTGTCTTAAAGACACAATGTTCAAACATTGGACTCAATCACAAACTTGTTCATAAACCATCTGCAAAAGTACTGTAAGGTTTAAATTTGTTGTTTCCTTTATTTATTTTATTTGCTTTAATTAATTATTTCTGAAATTATCTCCAACAATTTCAAGACAAAATTTCTATGCTAGTTTCTGTATTACAGTATTGATTTTTTCGATTAAAATTAATTTTTAGCAAAATTGTTTTCTTATATACAACGTATAGAACTTTGGGTTTATATTGTTTGGTTTGTTTATTACACATTTGTTTACTCATATTTAC